TTATATAAGTATATATAGACTAATAAGGGATGATTGTTATAGCAGATGTTTCCTGTTGGGGAATCACCATGGAAGAATGATGGTGGGGTAAGAAGGACTCATTGAGAGATACTATATTGAATTGTTTGTTCTCCCAGCTGTTCTCTCATACCCTCACACATAAATCAGATAAACTGAGAATGTATAGAAATGACATCATAACATGTGTTTCTGGGTGAATATTCTTGGCAACAAGATTTCCTTTGTCTGAAATCCTATATAATGATACTGATATGGGAACTTAGCTGAGGGCATGAAAACTGCGCAGCCCTTCCAGATGCAGGAAAACACCTATCCAGCTCTTAGTCTGACAACAAAGGGTGGTAATGTATCTTACTTTCTGTATGATGCTGTACTAATCTGATTGATAATCTTAGATTAAATAATTCTAATTGAGCCTGTTATTTCAACAATCTTGAGTCAATAACTCAGACACACAACACTTAAAGTTTAGTGATGTATTAAGTATCAAATACAACAGAAAAACAGGAAGCGAGCATTGTGGCAAGTTGAAGACAGTTGAGCACTTGGGTCCATGAGATTTTCAAAACTTTTAAAAATGGACTAAATTTTTGCTAATTTAGCCACAATTTCATATCCATCTATATTTTTAGTTGAAAGTCCAATATCCAATACTATACATGTATAACCTTTATTCTGTAACTAACCTGGATCTATCTTTCTTAGTAACTGATACACATTTCTGGTATGATAGATTAACATTTCCCCTACATAGACTACATTGAGGATGTCAGGGTTTAGAATCCTATTCAACTGACAAGTGATGCTTCTGTACTGCTTTTTTATAAGAGCCCAAAACTAAGTGTTTCATCAATCTCAAGCTGCAGGGTTTTTTTTTGCCATTACTAGAAATATAGTATACCTACTCACATTTTTATAGAAGTGGCATGATCACCCACTTCTGAAGTATCAAACTTACTGTAAATTGGACAGTAGAAATCACATCTCTTCTCAAAGAAGGAATAGGCATATTGTCCAAGGAATTTTCCAAATGAACACTTTTTTTAGCTCCAGGAGACTCAGCACGTCAATTTTTAAGGTAGAACTAATAGTTTTATCCCTGCCCCTCTTTACTTTTTCTTTTGTAACTGAATGACATCTCAACCATTTTTCTGATAATTAAGATAATTAAAATTAGCTGACAGCTCACATTTGAAGGCTTAAAAAAAGAATTTCATGTCAGAGATCATCTTCAGGGATTAGCCTTGCCTTTGAATGTTACCCAAGGCAGTATTGCCTTTAGGAGTAGAGAAGATTTTGGGTCTCATTCAATACCATTTTTAGATTTATCCTTAAATAGGAAGCTGAGAGACTGTTTTAAGCAGCAATTTAGTACTGAATGCTGGAAGGGGGTGTAACATCCATTACATACCCAAGTAGTGCTTTAAGCACAGTATTTGCATTCAATACACTAGAGATCAGCACTTAGATATAAGTGTTGTAATTTGAGTATAGATTGCTTACACACTTTTTTAAAGTTAAAAAATGTTTAAACACACATACTACTGTATTGTCACTGTTAGCTTCTACTGGGTATTTGAGTCCAAAAAGGCAGATTTGTCACATCCTAATGCTGAATGCTCCAAACAAAACAAAAAAAATTCCATACATTTTGAACTTTTTTTTTCTTTTCCTTTTTTCAGTTTGTCTCATCACAGCCTCCCTCCCTATGACTACCCGACTTTCCTTCATGTAATGTCTCACGATATAGTAATAATATGGTACGTACATCACTGAACAGTCAAAGAATGGAGCCAGCTGCTAGGATCACATACAACCTCTTAGTTTGCAGTTTTCTATTATTTTTTTAAGCGAAAATACTAATTGTAACTTTAAGGATGTTGAAAACTGTATTACGGAAAAAATGCCTGCCCTAAAGCAGAGAAGTGCCTGGAGAAAGCTGTGCCAATGCAGCAGGTTGAGGAAGACTGAAGTTCTTGTTTGCTAGTCAAAAACCAGGCAGATAAACAATATAATTCTCATGGCATTTAAAAAAGTTCTTTTGTTTCATTTTCTTTCAGTTTCCTTCCTGGGAGTGTCAAGATGAAAAAGTTAGATTATACCTCAGAACTAAGGTGACAAATATATAAGTTGTTGCTGACTGACAGTTTTTCCCTTCCAAGTAGAGGGAAACAGCAAATCCTTTGTCTGATGGGGAGTGCAAATTATACTTAAAAACAAAATAAAAATTAAAAAAAAATCCCCCACATCCTTGAAGTGACTGCTGTTACACACTGTTAATGAAAGCTGGCTTTCTAAAGACTATTACCACACAACTGTTATCTGAGAGTATTTTTTCCAAAAACTGATTGTTTGAAGTTTATTTCATAATTATAATTATAGAAAAAAAGATATATATATATTTTTTTTACACACTTTCCCACTATAGAAATCATTTCAACAAAGCTCAAGGTTTATTACCATAAATAAATGAATAAACTAAATGACATCTTGATTTTTTATATTAAATAACATCCGCTCATATTCTTCAACATAAAGGAAAGTGAAGCGTTAAAATGATTGTTTATAAAATTTAAGATACCCAGGCCTTACACATATGGCTTCATTATCAACATCCTATACAGTACATTCTTAAAATTATATCCATTATGCATCAAGTAGCGCCTATATATAAAGATGCATTTTAAGTTTAATGAAGTGCAATACACTTCATAGAGAGAACACATTTAACAACTCTAATATAGTAGTTACAGTATATAGTATTTTTCAGCAACCCACTGTGTTGTAAATTATATAAAAATACTTACAAGGTGGGAGGTAAAGACCAAATCTTCCAGCCCTCACTATGGCAATGTTCCCAGTGACACCAATAATTTTGCCTCAGTAATGGATGTAGGATTTGGCCAAAAATGCACAACCCAATTTGTTTTAGAGTAGCAGCCGTGTTAGTCTGTATCCGCAAAAAGAACAGGAGTACTTGTGGCACCTTAGAGACTAACAAATTTATTTGAGCATAAGCTTTCGTGGGCTACAGCCCACTTCTTCGGATGCATAGAATGGAACATACAGCAAGACAATATTTATACATAAAGAGAACATGAAAAGGTGGAAGTAGCCATACCAACTGTAAGAGGCCAATCAATTGAGATGAGCTATCATCAGCAGGAGAAAAAAAACATCACCACTTCAAAAGTTTTTTTTCTCCTGCTACAACCACCTTTTCATGTTCTCTGTAGTCCACGAAAGCTTATGCTCAAATAAATTTGTTAGTATTTAAGGTGCTACAACCCAATTTGTGTTTATGAACAAACTGAATGTATTCAAATAGCAGGTCCAAGGCTTCCAACTGAACAAATCAAATTTTTTGGTTTGAACAAAAAAATTAGGCATGTGTTTGAAATTAATTCGTGTCTGGAAACTACATAACTAAAGTCACAGCAAAAATGTAGGTCTCTATTTCTTGGGGGTATAATGCAGACAAGAAAAAACAAATTTTGTTTTCAGTAGCTTAACAGTGTTTGTAGAGGTCTTTCCTCTGTCTGAGTGAGAAAAATAAAATCTAAGTAAACAAAATGAATTCTAGGAACGTGCAGTACAGATTTCAAATGTGCAATCTTGATATTTACTATCCCATAGGTCTAACTTCTATCCCCTAGTAAAATAATGGAACAAATATTGAGGAAAATCACTTGTCTGGGCTCATATTCAACCTAGCACATATGCTAATCCTGGCAGGAATTCTCAGTAGCCATGTCTGCCAGTGAAGAGGCTCTGGCTGCAAAAGCATCCACACAATCCCTTCAATCTGAGAGGGTACAAAGGTCCGGCACAGCCCAAGAAGCATGTTGTACAAACTGGGGAGATGTGTTGATTCAAAGGTATCCTTGAAGTAATTTCAAGCATCAAGCTTCTATTGATCCCCATTGCAACTTAGCAGTCCTCCTTGGTGGAAAAACCTGAAGGAAGGTTCTCTTCCTGGAACACAGTGGGCCAGACTGATGCAAGGTGTAGTAGTTCACATTTTTTTTGCACCAGTTTTGGTGAATCTAGCCCCTAAAGCAGTGGTCGCCAATCTTTTTATGCACAAGATCACTTTTTGAATTTAAGTGCAACCCAGAATCTACCCCGTCCCTTTCCCAAAGTCCCTCTCATTCCATCCCCCCTTCCCTCCGTTGCTTGCTCTCCTGCACCCTCACTTACTTTCACCAGGTTGGGGCAGGGGGTTGGGGAGGGGGGTGTGGCTCTGGGCTGGGCCTGAGGGGTTCAGAGTGTAGGAGGGGGCTTTGGGCTGAGCCTGGGGTAGGGGGTTGGGGTACAGGAGGAGGTGAGGAGTGCAGGAGGGAATATGGGGTGCTGGCTCCGGGAGGGGGATCAGGGCTGGGGCAGGAGCTTTGGATGCAGGACGGGTATGGGGTGCTGACTCCAGAAGGTTGCTTAGGGCTGGGTGTGGGCTCCTAACAGGTGGCACTTACCTCAGGCGGCTCCTGGTTGGTGGCGCAGTGGGGCTAAGGCAGGCTCCCTGTATGCCCCAGCCCCATACTGCTCCCGGAACGTGCCCCTGCGGCCCCTGGGGAAGGGGAGGCACATGGCTCCATGCACTGCCCTTCTCTGCAGGCACCGCCCTTGCAGCTCCCATTGGCCGCAGTTCCCTGTTCCCAGACAATGGGAGCTACGGGAGCAGTGCTTACAGGCAGGAGCAGCGCACGGAGACCCCTGCCCTCCCCTCAACCGCAGGGGCAAGCTGGCTGCTTCCAGGAGCGGCATGGAGCCTGCCTTAGCGGCAGCCCCACTGGACTTTTAGTGGCCGGAGATCACGATCGACTGGGAGATTCTCCAGGATCGACCAGTTGATTGTGATCTATGGGTTGGTGACCACTGCTCTAAAGGGTAACAAGCAGCAGCATAGCATTACTGTATAAAGATAAATCTAGTAAGATATGACTTGATATTTGGACAAACTTAGCACACAATGCAGTAGATCCAGTATTAGTATTCATTTTTAGTAGAGCATTTGATAGTGACAATGTGTTTTAATGGAAAATTAATTCAAGCTGACTTGTACAGGAACATTTGAGGACAACAAACTGGCTACACATTGTAAAAAAGTTAACAGTGGACTGTAATGTATAAAGTTGGGGAACACTGTGGGATACAACAGGGAACAGAGCTAAAACTAGTCTAATTTTAATATCTTTGTTAATGAAGTTAACGGATACTAAACTGAAGGCACTGCAAGTGGTACAGGAAAGGATTTGGAGATTAGAAATGTGCACAGATCATTTTGGAAGTGACAAGTTTATACTGAGAAGAAATCATTCAACACACACGACAGAAAAAGAGCCAAGAAGCAGTAATAATGGAAGAACTAGGGATTTCCGTGGTAAGCAAGCTAAATATGAGTTTGCAATGTGAAATGATTGTAAAAGGAGCCAATGCAGTTTTGAGATCATGTTTCTGAGCTAGGAAGTACAATACTTCTCAGTACAATTTTGGGGTGATCAAAACGGGAATATTGTACTCTTCTGGGCACCACACTACCAGAAAGATGAATTGGAGGCTGTCTAGAGAAGAATAGTCAGGGGCAGGAGGAGTGACTTATGAGTAAGCATTAAAGTTAAAATATGTATATATTGGCTAAGAAGGGGGCATGAGAGTTTCCAACTAGCTGAAGTGTGCAAACATCAAATGGAGAAATATCCTATTTAGTTTGATATGCTGAGATGTATGTAGTTACTGGGGTAATAGCCTGAATTTTCCTTTTAATTTCATCCCATCTGGAAATAATTTCCCAAAATAAGATGTACTAGGTATCCTGCAACATCAGACACTTAAAACTTGATTGAACAAAATACTATAAAGTAAGCTAGGAAGGAATCCATTTCATCTTTCTGCTAAACAGATCACTTTCATCTCTAGTTTTCTATTAGCAGGACACCATTTCAACACAGTTAATCTATTGCTGAACTTGTATCATCAGTTTCTATTATACCATGAATTCTCAAAATTGTAACTTCCATGAGATAAAATTTCTTCTGTTTCAAAGGTTTGACAGGACCCATTTTCATATTCCTAGAATATTCTAGGGCATTGGATGAAAATGGAGCACACCTACGTGTGGAAAGTCATACATAGCTTTTGTCTAAAAAGAAAATATGACGACATCCCATGGTGAACATGCAATCAAAGTAAAGAAAAAACAGCTGGCAGTTTCTCACTATAATGACTAAGTTATTACATTCATACTGCAGCACTTAGGAAATAAAAAGTAGTTAATACCAGTGTTGTAGATGAGTCTGTTCAACAATACCCATAATTTGTGTGCAACATTTGCATTGCTTTTCCAGTTGATTATTCTGGAGCAAAGCAAAAAATAAAACAAGACACTTGAATTGCAAATGTAAAATACATTGTCAATACTTCTAAAAAATTTAGTAAGCTACACAAGACAAAACCCATGAGGGTTCCAGTGTGGGAAAAATATGCAACATGAAAACAAGAATCTTAAAATGGAAATGTTTTATGTATATTTTTTAAACCTCAGTTTCATGAGTCAGCATCTGAGATCAATTAACACTAATAAATTTGGGCTATCGCCAAATTATGATGAGTGGTAAACACAGGTCTAGTGACAAACAGCTGAGTCCCCTTAGTTTCTGTGATGTCAACCCATTTTTGGGGGGAGAGGATGTATGAGATAGCAAGTATTTTCTTTCCTGACACTATTTTTAAGGTTAAAAAGTAGACTGGAATAAATGCTATAATTAGAATCATTGGTATGTATTCATTTGTAGGTAAGAGAACAGTTCTCTTCACATGCAGTAGCAATGTTTAAATCATTAATATTTGAAGCTTTATCCTCACTAATATTCATTCCACCATCACATGCCTCTTGTGTTTTACATGTTGCATATTTTATATACAAGATATATATCAGGATATCTTAATATACTTTCAACGAGTATTAGGAATACATCATATCCCAAGCATACCAATCTAGTCATGTTTAAACAGCTCATTTAACCAAAATGAGTTTAATTAGCCATATGACTGCTTTAAAAATGGTGCAATCAAAAAATCAGAAACATCTTACAATTGTATTCTCAGTTACATTCTGACATGCTATCTAGCTGTCTCATTCCCTATAATCCCACCAATTTATGATTTACTTGAAAGATTACCATTTCTTGTGAAATATACTACTTAGTCCTTGTTCTTGGTATACATTTGCAACACAGCAGGTGTAGAAATAATGCTTTTGAATTGGACATGTGAAATGATTAACACATTCTACCAAAGTTGATGCTGGTGTTTTTATACAGAAGGCATCTCAAATCTTGTCAATCAACTGGTGGTAGGTGTTTGTCAACAAACTGCTTTACATCCATCATCTCCTGTTCAAGAATAAAATTATGCATTAGACCAGTGTTCAACTAAGATATTTTTCAGCATTTAGCTATCTCATTAAATTAGTATTTCAATACTGCAGTTACTACAAGCAACTGAACTACAAATTGAGCTTATAATTAGATTCCTTATACCTCAATGTAATACTTATCCCTCTGCAGAATTCAACTAACTGAGACAGATTAGTTCATCAAGAGCATAATACTCTTTGAATTACTTTACTCAGAGGAGGTAAATAAAGAGTCAAGGACGAAAGAAAGCTCCTTTCTCCATAAAGTGCTAAGAGAATCTAGCTAACCAGTGTGGTTATAGAGAGCCATGTGATCTGAAGAATGCCACACACTGTTACTCATTAATCAATCTACCATAAGAAAGAGGACCTCGATTAGTGAAAGTTTCCATCATCGAGAGCTGAAATAATTAATATTGCGCTCCCCACTGGCCTGTTGGGGAGCACATCACCACACTGGTACTCAATATGTCCCTGGAACAGGGTTAAGGCCATATTAATAACTGGCTGAGTAAATTTCTGTTGCTGGGAAATGGGGCAGACTCTGTGACCTTGTGGCAGCTCTGCTTCTCCCACTGAATAAAAAGAATTAGTAGTAGCATGAGCAGAGCAGTGAAGCCTTTAGAAAGATTGCCTCTTTTCTGCTTTTTTCATTTTTGTTTTGTAGTTAACATCCTTTGATTTATTACTTTTTCCTTCTATCCCTCCCATGCCAACTCCCTGAATGGAGGCCAGCAAGGTTTTTTCTCCCAGAATAATTAATACATAGTGTTTACATTGTGAGAATTCAAATCCCTCTTCCAATTCACTTGAAACAATGTAAACAAATATTCTCCAATCATTCTGGGAAGAAAAATCCTGCTCACCTGCAGGAAAGGAGAAGGAGGTAGAAGAAAAAAAGGCCCATTAGGTTTTTTAAAAAAACTTGATTGTAGGGAATTTAACAACTCATTTTGTTTCCTGTAGTTTTCATTTTTTCCATTAAATGAAAAACAAGAGTATTTTAAAAATTCATTATAACAACTGACTAGCGTGGACAATATTTTTGAAAGAAATTTATGTTAGCTAACAAACAATCCTGGCCTCATGATTTGTTCAGCCCAGGGTAATTATTAATTGAAGCAGCATTCTCAAATAATTAGTCACTCAAAAACATTTGTTTTCCTTGAAGATTAACATTGAGATTCACCTTTTTTTCCTGCTTTGAGGGAACATTTAAAGGAAGAATTCTCTGAAAACAAATTCCTGTTTTCATTTAGAAGATTACCTCAATACATGAGCTATGCATCATGCCCGAATAAGTCTTGAAGGTTACAGTGACTGGATTTATCAGACTCTTTAGCTTCTCAAAAGTGAGGGAACCAAACATCAGAGGAACCAAAGGGTCACAGTCCCCATGGCACTGAAGAATAGGAATATCTTTGTTTACACCACTGATAGCACCCTGTCAAAAAAAAAAAAAAGGGGGGGGGGAGGTAATGAAATTACATAAGATTAGTTCATTCAAGGTAAAATTAGGCTATAGAACAAACAATATAATGATAGTGAGCAGAGTTTGGACAGAAAAAGAAACACTGAATGGTTTGCAAGTTCATGTTATTCTAAATTTTATATCTAATTATCTACTATGTAATAAAATAGAATAATTAGAAATATGTTAGTACTATTTTTAAATAATCATTTAATTGATTACAGAATTAGAATTCTTTTAAAGCACAATTTCTGGGAAAGTAAATCATCTTTTACAACTCAAAGGCAGAAATTGTGTCCAGATTAAGGTAGTGGATTGCAGGAAGAGAACGGGTGGTAAGGCAGTTCATTTCCTAGAAGAACTAGGTTCTATCCTACAGGCTTGTCTTATGACACTGGGAAAGTCATTTAAAATCAGAATTTTTGTAGGTGGCCTAACTGTGCATTCCTTATTTCCCGAGTGCCCACTTAGAGACAACCAAGGACCAATTTTTAGAATTATAGAGTAGTCAACTGCCACTGAAATCGACAGCCACTGAGGATGCTCAGCAACTCTAGCAGCAACGTAGTATTGTCTGGAGGAATGAACACGGGAGTTGGGAGTCAGGAGGTCCTCAGTTGTGATTCTGAATCTGCTGATTAGCCACTTATGCAAGACCACACACAGTGAGTATCTTCCTGTCGCAGTTTCCCATCTGTAAAATGGGGATAATACAGTATCTCACAAAGGAATTAAGATATATTTATGAGGCACTCCGATACTACCAGGAGATAATGGAAACTACTGAGTGCTCAGCTTCCCCCTATCCTATTGTTTAAGATAGGTATTGTATGCGCTCACACTGATAACACTATGATAACACTGAACTTCCCAGTATATCTTTGAATTAATGTAATTACAACAGGGATAATGTATTCCATTTATACACTGCTTCTTCCATGCCCCCAAAATATTCTGTACTAGAAGGAATTCAGACAAAATACATACCACTTGAAATGTTTGTACAAAACTATTTTAGGCTATAAATACTGTTATTTCAAATGTAAATTAAGTAACAACTTTAAAAAGAACATTTAGCAAAAATGTTTAACATAAGCAAAACTACATTGTTCTCAAATGCTGACATAGGGTAAGCATCTTCTGGATTGATACCAATATATCTGACGTGTTATTACTCATTACCAATGCAATTTTGGCTCTTGAAGCTTAAACTAGTAGCCACCTCATCTGGTAAAGGTTATTTAAATATACACATGCCATTCAATTTTTATAGACTAGAAGCATACTAAAGAGAATCTCTCCTCTCCTGCCTGCCCCCATTCCTCTATTCCAAGACTGCTACTGAGGTGACAGGAGGTGGTAGTGGTATTTTGAATCCCAGAAAGTTGCAAGAGTTAGGGGAGGTGACCAGATAAGTCAGCCAGCAAACAGACAAAAAATTAAGGACGGAGTAAATGAAAGGGCTGCTGCTAAACAAAAGGACCCCTGAGGAATCATGTAAAATTTAACCCTCTGCTGGAATGAATGTTGGGTTAGCATGTTTGATCTACCAACAACTTCAGGGAAATGGAATCTCCCATATATCGGCTCCACAGCCATCTGGAGGACTGGAGCAGACGAGCACTTGTTAGCTTCAATAACAGAGCAAAGGCACCAATGCCTAACAATAGCTTTGACAAAGGACTAGACTTCACATGATGCCTCAGTTGTCTGACAGCACCACATTCTTTAGCTATGTCTATACAGTAACTCAGCATGGATTCACCAAGGGCAAGACATGCCTGACTAACTTAATTGCCTTCTATGATGAGATAACTGGCTCTGTGGAGGAGGGGAAAGCAGTGGATGTGTTATTCTTTGACTTTAGCAAAGCTTTTGATAAGGTCTCCCACAGTATTCTTGCCAGCAAGTTACAGAGTTATGGGCTGGATGAATGGACTATAAGGTGGATAGAAAGCTGGCTAGATCGTTGGGCTCAATGGGTAGTGATCAATGGCCCCATGTCTAGTTGGCAGCCGGTATCAAGCAGAGTGCCCCAAGGGTCAGTCCTGGAGCCGGTTTTGTTCAATATCTTTATTAATGATCTGGAGGATGGTGTGGATTGCACCCTCAACAACTTTGCAGATGACACTAAACTGGGAGGAATGGTAGATACGCTGGAGGGTAGGGATAGGAAACAGAGGGACCTAGACAAATTAGAAGACTGGGCCAAAAGAAATCTGATGAGGTTCAACAAGTGCAGAGTCCTGAACTTAGGAAGGAAGAATCCCATGCACTACTACAGACTAGGGACCGAGTTCTGCAGTTCTGCAGAAAAGGACCTAGGGGCTACAGTGGATGAGAAGCTGGATATGAGTCAACAGTGTGCCCTTGTTGCCAAGAAGGCTAACGACATTTTGGGCTGTATAAGTAGGATTGAGGGACGTGAACATTCCCCTCTATTCGGCATTGGTGAGGCCTCATCTGGAGTACTGTGTCCAGTTTTGGGCCCCACACTGGGAGAAGGATGAGGAAAAATTGGAAAGAGTCCAGCAGAGGGCAATAAAAATGATTGGGGGCTGGAGCATATGACTTATGAGGAGAGGCTCAGGGAACTGGGATTGTTTAGTCTGCAGAAAAGAAGAATGAGGGGGGATTTGATAGCTGCTTTCAACTACCTGAAAGGGGGTTCCAAAGAGGATGGATCTAGACTGTTCTCAGTGGTACCAGATGATAGAACAAGGAGTAATGGTCTCAAGTTGCAGTGGGGGAGGTTTAGGTTGGATATTAGGAAAATCTTTTTCACTAGGAGGGTGGTGAAGCACTGGAATGGGTTACCTAGGGAGGTGGTGGAATCTCCTTCCTTAGAGGTTTTTAAGGTCAGGCTTGACAAAGTCCTGACTGGGGTGATTTTGTTGGGGATTAGGTCCTGCTTCTGAGCATGGGGTTGGACTAGATGACCTCCTGAGGTCCCTTCCAACCCTATGATTCCTCATTTAACGTTGTAGTTATGTTCCTGAAAAATGCGACTATGTAAAACGATGTTAAGCGAATCCAATTTCCCCATAAGAATTCATGTAAATGGGGGCGGGGGTTAGGTTCCAGGGAAATTTTTTTCGACAGACAAAAGACATTATATACATATAGAGTATAAGTTTTAAACAATTTTAAACAGTTTAATATTGTACACAGCAATGAATGATTGTGAAGCTTGGTTGAGGTGGTGGAGTCAGAGGGTGGGATATTTCCCAGGGAATGCCTTGCTGCTAAATGATGAACTAGCACTCGGCTGAGCCCTTGGGGGTTAATACGCTGTTGTTAATGTAGCCTCACGCTCGACAAGGCAGCATGGACTGAGGCAGGAGGGCGGAAACACAATAGATGCAGGGCAGCAGCTGCAAACACTTCCCTGAACATGACGATGAGCCCATGCTATCCAGCTGGAGTGCACCACTGCCTTCTCCTGACAGCACATGCAGGGCTGCACAGGTGCTGACTTTCCAAAGTGCTGGGGTGTGTGTGCGTGAGTGAGAGAGAGAGAGAGGGAGAGAGACGTGCATTCCCCCAGTAAGTACGCTGACCCCACTTCAAGTACGTTGCCCTTTTAAGCAGATCAGCCAGTTCAGACGGGAAGCAACAGCTTCCAGCAAGCTCCTTCCTTTCTTTCCCTGAGCCTGTCCCCCTCCTCCGCTTTCTGGAGAGGGGTTAGGAGTGGGGGGGGGGGGGCGGAGGGGCATCCTGATATCAGCACCCCTCTCCCCTCTCCCCCCAGGAAGCTCCAGGGAGCAGCTCCAGGGCAGAGGGCAGGGCAGGAGCAGCATGGCAATGGGGGAAGGGACAGCTGAACTGCTGCTGGGCAGCTGCTGAGCCACATACCTTACAGGGAATTTATGGGAGCTGAATGGGGGGGGTCCCCCACCCCAGTTCTAATCCCCACAAGAAGGGGCTGCTCTTCCAGAGAATCCTGAAAGCAGTGGACAAAGCAGGCGGCTGCCAAACGATGTTATAAAGGGAGCATTGCACAACTTTAAACAAGCTTGTTCCCTAATAGATCAGCGACGTAACAACGAAACAATGTTAACCGGGACGACTTTAAGTGAGGAGTTACTGTACTATAGACCTTACAGTGGCACAGCTGTACTGCTGCTGGTGCACCGCTGTAAGTAGCTGCTATATGCCAGCGGGAGAGCTCTCCTGCAGACATAGCATTGTCCACACTGGCACTTTTATCTTTAAAACTTACATCAGTCAGGGGTGCGTTTTTTCACACCCCTGAGTGACAAAAGTTTTGCCAACTGAAGTGCTGGTGTAGACAAAGACTTAATTTATGGACATATTTAAAGAATTGTTTACCTAATTAACGTACGCAATTTCTATCTAGTGGGAGATGGGGGGGGGGGTGTTAGTCTGTGGATACAGTGTAATGAAAGTGAAAAAATATGTTCAAATGTTCAACTTCAATTAGCTCACTGAAGACTGAGTTATGTTTAAGAAAGTAGTACAAATACCTGTGGAAAAGAGGTCCGTAGTGGAAGCCAACTACTGAGTGCTATGACTCCTGCTAATTTCTGATGTGTTGTAAGAGCTGTATACAATGACAAGGCACCTCCCTAATCAAGAAATATAAAAACTATTACAATGGTGAAGTTAAACATCTAAATTAAATAGTTATCACCATTACTTCAGGATTTGTGGCCCCTTATATTTACAAACAATATTTTCCAATTTTAACTGATGGATCTGAAAAGTACTTCTAAAAATATCAGGTGACTCCATCCTTACTGTGTTTCAATTATTCTAGATCAAATTTGTTCAGTTTACAAGTAAAATGAGAGCACTGTTCTAACTGATAATTGCAAACTAAATCTAAAATCTTGTATTCTTCCAGACTCGTGGTAACATCATTTTTGTTGTTGTTTTAAAAGGAGACTACAGAACAAATTTGTTAATTCCCTTGATGATACGCAAGCCAAAAGAAAATTTCACTTCCCATGATGACAGTTCTCTCTTTCCTAGTCATTTGTCTGACCACAGCCACTTTAAAACCATATAATGCAATAAGGTACATGACAGTAGTTAACACTTTCATTCCTCTACTTGTTAGTATCTGATGGCAAATGAAAAGGAAAAGCAGGATAATAGCTTTGTTCACATTAGTCTTTGTATATTCTTATTAACCAGTTTATCACAGGACAACAAAACGTCTACCGCAGACCTTTGACAACTCATTCAGGAAATAATAATTCCTTCCTTCTGAAGTTCAGATCTTCTGTTAACTACATAAAATTCAGACTCAAATTATTTCTGCATTTTGGAATACAAAAAGCAGATGCCTTACAGAATCAAAATGACATGGAAATTTTAGAACTAACCCCTTAAGTTACTATTCATCTTAAACTTAAATTATTTTAATATTACTTTATAGCAGTTTTGTAGTATGTAAACTCATTTTTCACCAAGTCGATTTTTAGAGTCGGAAAAGAATTACTTTTGTGGCCTTTTGGAGGTAAGTCGAAACTAAAGGCCTTAGTTTCAGAAATGACTATCATCTGCTCGTTAACAGGATTTCCCAGTTCCAAGGAGATAACTTCAACTTCCCTCCAACGAAGAAACTGAAACTCCCTTCCTGACAAGTACCTTACCTGAGAAAAGCCTCCCAAAATTATTCTGTTAGAAGGAATTCCATTCTTCACTTCCTGATCTATCAGTACTTTAACTGCAAGTCAAATGAAGTCCAGTAGTTAATATGTAGCAGTTCTGAGGGGAGTTCAGAAGAGGAGGTGGTATAGGTGGTAAAAGGCAGTATTAATCTCCCCTGTGTCAAGGGAAAGCTGGCAGATGGGAAGTTGATGGAGTATTGCCCAAGCAAAACACTCTGGACCAAAAGTTCTGAGACTAGGGTCAAGAATTCTGGTGCTATAGACACCAGCAGTTCATGCAAGTCCAGAAGTGCTGGTACCAAAATAGAAACTGTTGGGTCAGGGTCACACAAAAGTCCCAGTGCAGAATGTGTGGTGACTTTTGAGCATTTGGTGTCATAACCATGCTTGTGTGGCTTCAGTGGCCTGTATTTTCTAGAAGGTTTCTAATTTAGTGGGTGATAGGAATGCATCTGACATGTGGGAATACAAAAACTGATCAATGTGCCACTAAATTCACCCACACAATTTAAGAAACTTAAAATCATTTAGTTAACAAACAGACAATATACTATCAGAGACTTCACCATTTTAAATCATCGTTTTCTAACTCTAATGAGAAAACAGCTGAAAACGAAGGAGCCATTTCATATACACACGCATATTTTATATAGTATATATATTATCTGGGAAACACTCATTTACAAAAATTGGAAGATACATTAAAAATACTCAAATGTACCATGCTCTGCTGCCTGCTTGATCCCAGCTTCATCTTCCTGTGCGTCTGGAGAGAGTCCAATAATATCAAACCTTAAAAGAAAAAGAACACAATTAGATAACGTTTATTCACTAGGGAACTAACACACCTTTGTATACTGACATAACCATACAAACAGTAATGAGAAGATTTACTAATGATCACTTTTTCCACACTGATGTTTTATTATCCTACAGATCATTATTAAGAATAGGCTCAACCTTGTGTTAAGCTATAGGCTCAATCAGTTTACACCTTGTAAACAGTAGTTATGTAAGTACTCACATATGAGAGCCCAAAAATGACTGATCTTAAGAGTTTAAGCATATTTAATTTTATTTATTTATTTTATTTAATCTAATGGTTTATGGTACAAGGAATTAATTGCTCAACTATATAATTTTTATTTCAGTTGCTGCACTATATAGTAGAGCTGCACCTGTCATTTATACTAAACACATTGAGAAATCTTTTAGTGGGAATTAAAAAAAACTTCAACTTCTAAACCAACTATAATCTCTTAAGAATTTTGCCCTCTTCTACCTCGTCAAAAACAAAACAGTTCACTATTTCAATATTTAAGAGGAAGGCAATATATTCTTTGTAATATTTTTGTCCAAATATTAGCAGGCATATGCTGAGAATTAAACAATTCTTTCAGCTAATATAGAAAAGCTAAAAAAAAAAGTGAAGAAAAAATCAAGAGAGGGAAGATTTACATAACATTTCACATCCTCACTTTAAAGTAAAAAAATATGGATTTCAACACAATTTTCTATTGGAACTTCCATTCTAAAAGAAATCAGAGACCACTTTTTTTGTAAAGTTTAAACAGTTAATTGTCCACAAAACAATACCACCCATTACTAGTAGTAAATAATAATTCCAAGAATTTTTGTTCCTGTTTTCACAACAAATAATTAAAGGAAAATTACTTACTTTTAGTAACTGGAGTATGAACTGTGGTGTTTACATGTGTTCCATTTCTGATGTGTATGCACTCCATGTACTGGAGATTGGAACATTTTAATCAGCAAGGTCCATTAGCAGCATCTACTCCTTTGATGACCTCAAGCCCTGTCCCCTCCCCCCAGTACAGAAAGGGGGCAAACAACCAAACCTCACTTCCCATGCCACTCTCAAGCCCAGTCTGTTAGACTCGGCAGTAGTGGGGAAAGGAAGGTGGATCATGGAACACATGTAAACATCTCTCAAAGAACTCCTGTTACTAAAGGTAAGTAACTTTCCTTTCTAGTTTGACTGCTTGTTTGTGTGTGTTCTACTTCTGGTGACTCCCAAACAGTATATAATAAATAAACTCTAGTGCTCTCCTCTAATAAAATAAAGACTGCAACATAGCCCTCTCAAATGGGGCATCTGAACAAGGTACCTGAATGAAAAAGTAATCACTAGGGAATGTATGTATAATACTCCAAATAGAAGCTCTACATATATCAGCTATGGGTATTCTCCCTAAAAGAGGCTCCAGAAGTGGTCTGTGGTAGAATATGAGCTAACATGACCTGAGTTCTAAATTGACCACCCCATAAAGTAACTTTATGCAGTGTCACACCCAATTAGAGATTCTCTGAGTTGAGACTGCCTGACCCCTGGAGCTCTTGACAGACAGACAGACTGACTATGGGAGTGCCTTAATGGTCTTGTTGGAGTTAAGTAAGAGGAGGAAGCATAGAGGACATCCAAAATCTGAAACACAGCCTTGCCCTTGGATGAATGAGGCTTTTTTGGGGGGGGGGGGTGGTTGGGGGGGGGAGAAACACACTTAAATGAATGGACTTATTTAAATGCAAATTAAGGGATTACTCTGAGTAGCGATGTAGGGTGAGGCTAACGTGTAACTTTATCCCTGTGAAAAGTCATATACTGCGGTCCTGGCATGACAGCTTGCAGTTCAGACCCTGAGAGTGTCAATGTGATTGCAAACAGGAATTCAGTCTTCAGACAAATGGAATAACGAGCACAAAACTAATGGTTCAAATGGATGTCCCCATCAGGCTGGTAAATAACGCATTAAATTTCCAACATAGAGGGAACTGTTTTAATAAAAAGAAATCCCCTTAAACCTTTCACAAAAACGTTTAAACTGAAGGATGAACAAGCTGTATAGGTCCTGATGGTGGATGCTGTGCTGAGATAGCAGCCAAATGAACATGGAATGAGCTTAACAACTAACCAGAGTTTAAGTATAACGGATACTCAAAGAGATGAGGGATTGGAGAAATATTATATTGGTAAACCCACAATGAAAAACACTTCCATTTTGCAACACAAGTTGTCCTCAGACTGCTTTCTGCTCTGAATCAATATGCTCTGTACATCAGCAGAACAATTATTCGACTCTGTTACCTGACAGTTTCCATTTTATGAAGTGTAGTGATGACACATCTGAATGAATAGCTGTCCCATTGTTCTGGGTAGTTAAGTCTGGTAGAAGAGACAGAGGCACTGAAGGGGTTACCAAGAGATTTCTTATTACCGTGAACTAGCACTGCCTTTGCATTTCTTGTTCTGTTCAGTTGCAAACAAATCCATAAGGGGAGCACCCCATTGATGACAGAATCCTTTATGAACCGTAAGTGATTATGAGAAAAAATGTCTATTTAGATGTCTGTTGGCGTGTTGTGTAGGACTGGAAGATAAAAGGTGCAGATAGCTGTATATTTCGCGTTCAGATTCCATAGAAGGATTGCTTTCCTGCACGAGAGCATTGATCTGGTTCCTCCTTGTTTATGTAAGAGCTGACAATAACACCATGTTCTTTTTGTAAACTCTGAACTTTGTTATGAAATAGAAAGGACATGCAGACAAGCTGTGTCAGTCTGAGTTGTAGGACACTTATATGAAGCCAACCCTCTCCGAGACCACTGACCCTGTACTGTCAAGTTGTCAAGATGGGCTCCTCAACCGAACAACAAAGCATCGGTCACTGTTGACTTTGTGGGAAGCGCTAGGGAGAACAGAATTCCTTTGCAGACCTGATGTGGATCTTTCAATAAGGGAGTTCAAAACTTCTTGAGGGATGCATACTCCTATATCTATTTTGTGAACAGCCAGGCAATAAGCTATCCATAACCACCCCTGAAGACAATAAGGATGCAGTCTGCTGAATGGAGTCAGAGAATATATGAAGCTGTGTGACCTAAAAGCCGAAGACATGTCCTTGCTGTGGTACATGGATTGTTTCCCCACTTGATTTATCCTCTCTAGTATGGTGTCAAACTTGGTCTGCACCAGGTATGCGTAAACAGTCATGGAATCGAGTAGCACCCCAATAAAGTCTACCTTTTGTGTTGGATTAAATGAGACGTTCACGTTCACACTCAACTCCACTTTGCACAACAGACGTATGACATAATGAACGCTGTTTATCACCTGTCTGAAAACAATCCTTTCAAACAATCACTAAGATATGGGTAAAAACATTTCTCTTTCTGCAATGTGCTGCTACCATAGCCAGACAATTTAGTGAAAGTTCTTGGGGCCATAAACAAACCAAAAGGCAGCATTTTGTACTGGTAATGTGTGTTGCCCACTACAAAGCACAGGTATTTCCTATGTGCTGTATGGAAATACGCATTTTGTAGGTCTAGAGCTGCAAACCAATCTAGAAGATCTGGGGAAGGAAGTGTGAAGGACAGTGTTACCATTAGGAATTTGAACTGGCAAACAAAGAAATGTAGATCTCAGATCCAATAATGAACACCAATCTCCCAATTTGGGGGGGACTAGAAAATATCACAAATAGAACCCTTTTCCCCCAACTGTGGGTCGAAATCTCCTTTATATCACGAAGAGCCAAAAGAAACGGACCCTGTTGTTGAAGGAGACTCTCATGAGTGGAGTCCCTAAAAAGAGATGGGGAAGATGAGTTGGGGGTGGAAATGTCTTGGAATTGACTAGAGTAATCTTTGGAATTATTTCCAGCTTAACCTGTCGCTGGTGATACTGTTCCCTAAAATAATGCAAACGGTACCCAAAGAGGGTAGGGAAGGTATAAAGATCCTCTCAGATTGGTTGGCAGCTCTCGATATACACATCACAATGACTACTGAGCCAGCCTTTGCAGCATTTGAAGTCGATGAAGGTCTCCTCCTATGTATATATGGTTTCTTCTTAGAGAAATCTGATGTTCTCTGATAAAGATGATAGAGTAGTGACAGTGTTTCGCTTGAGTATGATATCAAGACTGCTTCTTGTAATGGGAAGCATAACTGCCTAATGTGTGACATGGTACGAGACAGTCCTTCAATGTAACAACTTGTCAGTTTTAGAACAAAACAGATGATTCCCTTCAAAGGAGGGTCTTCCAGTGTAATATGAATCTTGTTTGGAAACCCAGAATGCTGGAGCCATGACACACTGCCTAATTGCTGCTGCCATGGACTTCGATGCTGCATTAGCAGCATGACTGGAGGCTTGTGAAGAGGGTTTTAACTATTAATTGACCCTCCATAGACAGATTTAAATTTCTCTCTGATGTCTAACAAAGGTTTATCAAAATCTTCAGCAACTTTGCTCTACATAAGGTAATTATAACATGATAGAAGGACCTGATAATTCACTATGACAAGTTGAAGATAGTAAAGAAGAGTTATTTGTTAGCTAAGAGGTCCACTCTTTTCCTGTTCTCCTTTGGAGTAGTTCTAAAAGACTGATGTTTCAACTTCTCTTGAGCTGTGCCAAAGACCCTGAACAAGATGCATTTAGAAATATTCAAACCCTATCAAAGGGACTTAACACCTTTTTTCAGCTATCTTACAGGTTGGCGATAGATGCTAGTCTGCCACAATAGCTAGATTGGTTCTAACAAGCCTTCATTTAAAGGTAAGGCAAGTGTATATCCAGTAGAGAGATATGTAAAACGTCCAATAGATGTCCATTTTGTTGAAAGTCTGAGCTGGAATCACCAAAGTTTCTGTCATTCTGTGGACCAATTCCTGAAATGACTTATCGAATGACTATGCTTCAAGAGGAGCCATATGTTCACACTGTGAAGACGTGGATGGAATATGCTCTAGGATAGTTTCAGAAACTTGTTGCAGAAGTACATGTTCATTTAGAGTCTGATGTGGAGAAGAGTCTGGTTCAACAATATGTACAAGATCACTGTGATTGCTTTTGCATGACGGGTGGATCCTTGGGTAAAAGATATCTAACCCCTAGAAACTGAAGCTGAGGAAAGTTTTGATTTAGGATATGGCACCAGTGAAGTGAAGCAGTTGGTCCACATGGATGAAGTGAATGTGGCCAGGGCAGGGGGGTACTACCTAGAGGCTTTTGAACTAACATGCCTATATATTTACCTTATGTATGACCTGACTCTCAAACATATGAGTCATAAAAAGTTACTCCCAAAGGGTAAGAGGGTAAAACATCCCCATTATCAGAAAAAGGAATACCCATCCTCTTAAAAGAAGAGGATGGGGTGCTGCTCATGAGGGATTTGGAGAAATACCCACTGATGGGGCTCACCACAATAACCCGCAAGTGACTTAGTAAATGTTTTGTCAATCGGGATGCTTTCTAAGGGGCAGTCAGGCTCCGAATGAACAGGCACAGACAGCTGCTTCTCTCAGGCCACCTGAGGAAGTCAGCACTGCAAGGGGCTGTAACTGAATCAGTGCCAGAGCAGCATGCTCAGAACAAGCCCATGCTGCAGACAGCCAAGCGAGTTGTCCTGCACTGGAGAAACCTGCTCAGAGTGGACTGGTGCTGAAGACAGATGAAAGAGCTGACTCAGCGCCCAGAGCAGATGGTGCCAGCAGCAAACTGACAGCAGCCAGCAGAAAGCTCTGCTCCAGTGCTAACGGACACCGGTGAGGCTTTCTCAGCTGCCTCCTGTCAAACTGATGTATGACGAGCTGCTTTCAGAGATCCCTTCATCCCAGAGAAGGCAGGGAGTGAGCCAAACCTCTTTCTTTGTGAAATCTTCCTCTGCACTCCTTAGACGAGCGATACCTGTTACTGCTCGCAGCTGCAGACACAAAAGCAGCCAGACCGCTGGAGGTTAAGGCAGTTACCAGGACATTTTTCACTGAGGATTGTCCCAGACTGGGGGATTCTACATTCCACCTGCTTCAGAGACCGGCCTCATATTTTTCTCAAAAAGGAATAACTTCATCCTGTTGTCCTAGATGTAGCTGCCCTCTTGGCGAGGGTATTACAATCCTTATGTTTTTCTTTTACATATCCGGAACCTAAAAAGTAAAGACAACTTAAATATGTGTCATACATGGGCGTACCAGCCCCACAGGACTCAAAATGTAAAGCCCGGGGTTTCTGTCCTGACAAAATATCAGACCCTCCCTTTAAAGGGCAGAAAATAAATCTAAACAAAGCTAAAATTACTAAAAACACTACACTAAATACCTAGTCTAAATAACTATTTACACAATCCTAATAAAATAGGTGACTGAAAAAGGGAGTTGGGACACTGCTATTTGGGTCCACCTCATAGCCAGGAGCAGCTGAAAGGAAATGAATGTCAGTTGGTTGTTCCACCCCCTTTCTACCCTCGGGGAGCAGGGCTCAAGGTCATCAAAGGAACAGGTATGACCAAAAGATATAGCTGACTAAAGCATTCCCAGCTACAACTCATGAGGCACATGCACACCAGAAGTGGAACATAAGTAAACAAGCACACAAAGAATACAAACTTTCAAGCAGATTGAAGACTTATGTATATTATACATTTGATGTTTTCAATTTTAAAAGTTGCTTTTTCCCTGTCTGATGAATTTTCTTTCTCAGAGCTAGTATTTCTTTTTTGCTTCTGATGAGACAGTTTGACACTATTAACGAGAAACCTTTGTTAGAAGGTTTGTTCTGCGTTTACAGTTGATTAAAACTAGCAATTCAAGCTCATCCTTGAGTTAAGTCCAATCAATATAAACACTTATCACTTTATATATGATTATTTCTAATTCAGAAAGTACTTACCAAGATGGCATGGCCATATTCATATTCAGAGAAACTGGCATAACTGGCCTAGAAATTGAGAAATAATATTGGTATAATTTAATACAAAGGTTTGTTGACATAACACCACACATCGGATAACTATTTCTGCATCGCTGCAAGATTTCAGGTTAAGTTGTAAAGCTAGATGTTTCCTATATTTTCATCCCATTTTTAAAGCATGACCAGTGTCAGCTCTCTCATTTTTAAAACTGAAGGTAAACATGAGTTAGACCAATTTTGGTCTTTTAGCAGAACTACAATAGGTTTTGAGGCAACAGATTAAAATAATTAGTTGATTTCCTTAAGAACAGAATGAAAACCCTGAGAGACTATGAAAAGCACAGACAATAGAAGCGTACGAATGGTACAGAGAAGAAAAATTGGCTATATGCGCTCATGAAAAGAATGGCCACATAGAGCAGATATTCAGAGGCAACAATGTCAAAGAACCACAATTACACCTCTTCCTCGATATAATGCTGTCCTCAGGAGCCAAAAAATCTTACTGCGTTATAGGTGAAACTGCGTTATATCGTACTTGCTTTGATCCACCAGAGTGCGCAGCCCCCCCCCCCCCCGGAACCACTGCTTTACCGTGTTATATCCGAATTCGTGTTATATTGGGTCACGTTATATCGGGGTAGAGGTGTATTAGCACAACTAACTATTCTTCAATTGGCCTCTGCTCATTCAGACTTATGGGAGTCTAGCAAACAGCAGAACCCCCAGAAAAGTGATTTAAGAGTTCTAATTAAATATATTCATAGAGCCTTGCAAATGCGGATATCCACGGATCATTTTTGCGGATTGGATGCGGATATAAATTTTGTATCCGTGCAGGACTCCACAGATTCAGTCTCCCAAAGCAAACATCAGATCTGGATACCCATTTGAGAGCAGTGATGTATAAATGGATGTACAGAAATCCACATAGTAGCCCTGCTTGTAGTTTACGATGGAAACATTATGAAGGCACATCATTGATACTTTTGTCGTAACAGACTGAGTTTTAAGACCCTGAGGCACTCTCACCCTAGCTGAGTCATAACAGGTCTCATTGTACAACCTGTTCCACTTTGCAACTCCTAAAGTGGAAATGGCATTTATGCTACAAGAAGTCTTGCTGACTTCTTAAAGTCTTTGGTTCTAACTATATAAAATAACTCAAAACCCCCTGTAAATGGGGGTGTGGAGCCTTGTTTCCTCCAGAAAATAATGAAGTTTTGGAAAGAATTATGAGATTGTCTGATTCACACAGAAATCTCAATTTTTTCTATATATTTGAAATGAATTTGTAAGACTCTCTCTGAAGAATATGGTGAAAATAGGATAAATTATTAAAACCTGTGCAACTCTCTTCTCATAGAGGTAGTCATGCTGTCTTTTGTAAAAAGAAGAGTCCCATTTTAAGGGCTCAAACATGAGTCCATCAGCCCTGTTAATAACAAATTAAGATTCCATCAAGGTACTGGTTCTCTGACCCACAGGAAGAAGTTAGGATACCTGAAAGGTCTGGGCTGCAATAGTGCGGCACCTGAGAGACAAGCTGAGATGGCAGGTGGATTCACTCACTTGAACACAAACTGATGCCCCTCCTCCAAGCAAAAACTTCAGCAATAGCAAGGGAGCAGCTGCAAAAGTCTGTTCCAAGAATACAAACCTTTTTGGTGCCAAGAAATTCTCCAGCCTCAACAGGTCAATAGATGCTTGATTAGTACCAGGTTTTTTAGACACCTAGCAATCTCCAGCCATTGAACAAAGACATAGACCAAAGAGTTCCTTAGACAACAAAATCAGCATAACTTAAAGAAATTCTAGCACCAAAAAGCTCAATTATTGGACTCAATGAAATCTTGTTGCCTGCAAGAGTAAGCAAGCCACCAACTCCGATCTGGTACAGAATTCTCCATCTGACTTGCCTGGCAGCATACTCTCTTCCAGTGCAAGGGTAGATAGCCAATCATAGGTCAGATCCAAGGATTGGATACTCAGGACTCATCAGCTAAGGCCCAGGGCCTCTGCTGCCAATTGGTGCAGGAATTATGTGTGAAGGTCCTACTTCCAAACAGTAGTATGAAGAGTGGGCTTGCCCAGCCTAAAAGAGAGCTGGTGTATATATCCACTTCCATTTACATGGAGAAGCACAATGCACAAAGTTTAAATCCCATTCTTTATCAACCCCCTGGAAGCCTGTTTGGCTAACAGCAAAGCGCCCAGAAGAAAAAACTAACTATAATACAACACTAACACTAGAAATGAAGAGAGTCTTGGATCTGAAACCCAAAAGTCACTCAGGGAATGGAAAATAATGTCCTCACATCTCAAACTGTCCAAATAAAGCAAGAAATTAGGTACACATGCTTTTACAAACTTGGGTCCAAAAGTTCAATTTCACATGAAGTACTTATGATGTACTGGTTTCCATAAAGTTTCCAAAGCTCGGAACCCCAATAGGAGCATCCCATTGGCAATACGTAAAGGCCACCTCAAAAACGACCAGGGACACTGATGAAATTGAAAGGCATCAAATTTAAAACTGATGAGGATGATACTGGTCAGATATTTTTTTTAAAACCACGCACTGCATAATTTAGCAGTGGACTTAATTGTCACAATGTGTCAAGGCCAAGTGCTGAATTAGGCATTTATATGCATGAGAAAATAGTTGTTTCAGACAGATTATACAAGTGTTTGCAAAGGACATAGACACCTATGTTTCAGGAAATAAGCCAGCTGCTAACAATTTAAGAAGAAACTTCCAGTGTGCAGATTACATCTTAATTGTCCATTATGTGGTTTCTTCCACATTCCTCTGAATAATGTGGTAGTGGCAACTGTCAGACAGAGGAGGCTATTATAGATAGCCTAATGATCTGATAATAAAAGCTGCCATATGTTTTATTGTAATTTTGGGAAAATTGATTCCCCCTCATCCAATTTTGCTCTTCTGTGCCGCGCTGCACCTCACCCCACCACCTGCTAAAATTCTGAGAGCATGGGAAGATAAAGAGATAAGTACCTCCCATTCTTTCCCCTCCTCGGGGGGGGGGGGGGGGGAGAAGAGGGAGAAAGCTAGCCACTAAAGAACGGGAAAGGCAAAGAAGCATGGCTGAGACCACCATGTGGTCTATGACAGTGGCAAAAACACTTTGATCTTGCCTATGCTACAGCTTCCACTATTTCCAACACCACTGACAGTGAAGCCATGATGAACTATGGGTTCTAAGTTTGCCACTGTAGGTGCAGATGTACCCTTAGGTGCCCCCAGGCCTCTGATCACTTCCATGCTATACTCTGCTTTGCCAGGTGAGAAACAGAAACATCTTTACTTCAATCCACAGGTTTCTCTCTCTACCGCACTGAAAGTAGGAGATGAACTGTTTGCAAGAGGTGCTGAATGTGGACCAGGAAACACAGCTATCACATTTTAAAATAAAAGAGCAAAGGGCCAGCAGGAAAGTGAGTCCAGAGAGTGCTGGGCTATCATTCAGATGGGTCTGCAGAGTAGTTCAAGGGGTTGGCTTTATTATATAGAAACCAGATGCTGAACTCCACAACAGTGTTCACCCTTGCCCCACCAACCCTGCTACAGATCTCTCAAGACTGCTGCTGCTTATTGCAACATGGGATACCTCTCTACTACTTTTGCCCTAATGAGGCAAGATGCTCTTCTTCCCAGAAAGAACAGTTAAGTCATAGGATAGACAGACAATCTGAGTTTCTCTTAAAATAGACCAAGATTGGTCTTTTACTCACCCTGATTTTAAGTGTTAAAGAGATGCCAGCTATAGTTTAATGCCTTGTTTACTAGGTAGAGTCCTGTTACTCCTAAGTGAATTCTGCGCAACATTCATATGACCTGCATTTTTTTTTCTGTGCCTCCCACAGAAAAACGCAAAAAAAAAAAAAAATTCTGCCAGGGGACACGCGCCTGTTCCCTGGCAGCCCAGGCAGCATATCTGGACCAGTCTCAGAGATGGGGGAGAGAGGCTGGGCATGCGTGCGTGCCTGTGTGGTTGATCACCGTCGGGCGGGGGAGGGGGCTGGGCGTGCGGACGTGCCAACAAGGGACAGAGAGAGAGAGTCTGTCCCTCGCTTGCCACTGCAGCTCACTGGCATGGAAGGGTACGGCTTTTTATTATGCACGAGGCAGGCTAGAGGCAGAAATGTAGCAGCCTGCCTGTTAGTTAATTGATCTCATTCTCTGAAGCACAAATGTAGCAGCCTGACTGTGTAGTAACGTTGTTAATGTTCCTATTGTTAGTTAACTGTTCCCATCCTCAGTCAATTCCCCCACGAGCATAAAACCTGTGAAAGTTTTAAGGCCCCTACGTTGCCAGAGTGATGTAAAAGGAGCCTTATTATAAATGACAGTGAGGGAATCCTCAGATAGGAATATCTATGTGCTTTCTCACTTTTTTCCTGTGCCAAAGTGGCACAATGGGGTTAGATTACAGCTCAGGATTTATTTTACTTACCTATTAAAAAAAAAAAGATTTTAAAGGCAAATAAAACATTTACCAGCAGTCAATAAAATGTCTGGACAATCAGAACCAGGCACTTCCTAAAGTACCCAGCCAGGTCCAGGACAATATTAGTACAGGAATGCACAAACTTTTTGGTCCGAGGACCGCATCTAGGTATGGAAATAGTATGGCAGGCCATGAATGCTCACAAAATTGGGGTTGGAGTGTGGGAGGGGGTAAGAGTCTGGCTGGGGGTGTGGGCTCTGGGGTGGAGCCAAAAATGAGGAGTTCAGGGTGTGGGAGAGGACTCCAGGCTGGGGCAGAGGGCTCTGGCTGGAGGTGTGGGCTCAGGGTGGGACTGGGGATGAGGGGTCTGGGGTGCAGGAGGGTGCTCCTGGCTGGGACAGAGGGGTTTGGAGGGTGGGAGGGGGATCAGGGATGGGGCAGGGGCGTGGGGGAGTGGCTCAGAGGTGCAGGCTCCGGTGGCGCTTACCTCAAGCGGCTCCCAGAAGCAGCGGCATGTCCCCACTCCAGTTCCTATGCAGAGGCATGGCCAGGTGGCTCTGCTGCGCACTGCCCATCCACAGGCACTGCTCCTGGTGGTTCCCGGGCAATGGGAGCTGCAGGGGTGGCACTTGGGGCAGGGCAGTGTACGGAGCCCCCAAGCTGCCCCTACATGTAGGACCCGGAGAGGGGACATGCCACTGCTTCTGGGAGACATGCAGAGCAGACCCCAACCCTGCTCCCCGGCTGGAGCGGGGCAAGCCCCAGACCCTGCTCCCCAGCGGGAGTTTGAGGGCCGGATTAAAACGGCTGGCGGGCCCGTAGTTTGCCCACCCCTGGATTAACAAAACTGCATGACTCTAATGTGTGAAAGTCTGAGCAATTTAAAATGACATTCCATGTTTTTTTTGGCTGTTTGGCCGTTCTATAATGTAATTTAAATGAAAATCCAGGATTAGAACTGGAATGCAGGATATTAGTTACCAAGTGTTTGTAACTTAACTTTTGTGTGTTTAGGAAATGCTGAATAGTTATTGTGACTTTTCTGTACTGTAGTTTAAGTAAATTACCAAAACAATTGAAACTGGTTTGATTATAGTGCATTATTTTGACAAATAAAATATGCAGAATTTTGCAGGCTTCTTTGGTGCAGAATTTTGAATTTTTTGGCACAGAATCCCCCCCAGGAGTACCCGATGCTTGTTATCAAGTATTTTAGTTGTCTTTTAATGCAAGTTAGCTGCTGGAAATAAGCAGGAGGGTCAGCTTTGTATGACTGCCATCTCTCCAGACTCCCCAAAAAGGGTTTTGCAGAACACAGCAGTAGCCCACAGACCAAAGTTTGAGAACCTTTATACTAACTACATGAATAACCAACAGTGTGCATTTTGTATTACAAAGGAGTGCATACAATTCAGAGATAAGTAAATATCAATTCTTGAAATTAGCTTCTCATAAATATTCATGTTGAGTAACACTTGGCCATTTGAAAGCTTGCAGAAAGCAGAGACTTACACAAATAGTCAAATTGAAGTTAGTTGTTGAATTTGAGCAATTTTCCAATTTTCTATTTATTCACTCTGATTAAGATACTTGCAACAAAGCAAAATATGAATCAAAACCTGGGGTGCTTAAGTAATTCATATCAATACTTAAAACTTTTTTTTTAAATAAGCATATAGCTGCACTTTTTCAGTAAGCAGATAGCCAGTAGTCAACTGAAGTGATGAGTACCCATAAATCTCACTGACTTCATCTTCTCACATTTGTCTAATGGCCTTACAAAATATAATCTACATAGTAGCCTTGCATTAGAAAATAGTGAAAAACCTGAAACATAGGTATTTTCATGATGCTCACTCTATAATATGGTAACACTGTCTTAAACAGGAATATCTGATTAATATATATTAGTCCTGTATAATGTCTTGAAACAAAAGCCAACTGTTGTAATGATTGTTTTGTTTTTGATATTTACATGGCAAGGAACTGTAAATTTGTAAAACTTCCTAAATAAAAAGAGTGAAAAAGATGAAAAAAGAAGTTATATACTTACGCATGTGGACAAATATATTTTATATGTGGACTTCTGATACCTGCAAATGCTTCTGCCCAGCCATGTCTGTTGGAGAAAAGTATGTTAAATAGCATTTTCATGTGCTAGTTTAATTCTGTTAACTTTAATAGTTAAGCACTGTTGCCATAATAATGCTAAAATAAGAGGGAATGTCATGTCATTACAGGTGACATTTCTAAAAGAACCTAAAACAAAATGCATTACCAATGTTAAAAGAGAAGTTCTTCCTTTATAACAAGTAGCAAACCCATCTAAAGAAAACTAGTTTCTTGTCCAACAGTAGTTTCTCTAAGAAAGCATTTGCTATAAGCCGGTCAATGATACATTTACTGTGTCAATCTATTCAAAGACACATAGACAAGGCCACAAATTCAATTGTTTTCAAACTTTTTTGAATATCGCTAAAAAAAAAAAATCTATGCTGCATAAAAACAACACTAAAAAACACTGATAACTGTGGTTCTTCAAGATGTTTTGTGCTTGCGGCTCTCACGCATGGTGTGGCTGAATCTCTTGCAAAAGAATTCCAAAACTTCTAAAGCAGCATCAAAGCAGGAGTCACATATGTGCCCTTTATGTCCTTGCACCCCCTCTCCAAGGGCATAAAGGGCACCATGACTCCGGTCACCCCCTAAGGTCGTTCTCACCACCCAGAGTTTCACAAGGTGTCTGAGCTGCAGGAATGGAGGATGGATCAAGGGATTCACATACACAGAACATCTAGAAGAACCACAGTTTCTATTAGTTAAGTAACAATTCTTTCTTTGAGTTCCTATGCACATGGCTTCCACTCATTATTAACAAGCAATTCAGTGATCAAGAGGGTGGGAGCTAGGAGCTCATCTGAATAGACTGTAGGACTCATCTTCCCCTTGTGTATCGGCTCTGGAAGCGGATATGAAGAAGTAATGACTAGCATACATATGCAAGTTGTTGTTCTGCAATTTTCCACAATTGGTATCCTACTAAAGCACATTTCTGAGGCAGGTTGTATGGAATGAAGACAGTTTGGACATGTCAAGCTTTCTCATTCCCCCAGCATTCTGCACTATGAAGTAGTGTTGAAAGTATGCAGCTCTGATAAATCAATATCAGTGATGATGGTGGCAGATGTGAATACAAATACTCAAACTCTTTAGGAGAAACTTGATACTTTCGTTCAGCTCTTTGAGGTTGCTGACATAGATTGTGGAGTAGTCCATAATTCCTTTGCAGGTTACAGAATTCCCTCATTAATAGGAAGGGCTATTCTGTCCTGAGCGTCAGGTTGCAAAATATCAAATAGTTTATCTGCCTTGTCTTGAACCAATTCCAATGGAATATTATTCCTGAGGGAATTTTACGCCAAAAAAATTAAAAATTCTGTGCACGTTTTAAAATTCTGTAAATTTTATTTGTCAATAAATAAACGTCTCTCCAGCATGGCAGTGAGGAGCACAGGTCACTGGTTGCATTGGGAGATCATTCTGAAGGCCCCACCTTCTCCAGTACAGGGACTCAACTGTGAGGCTGCACCTGACCCTGACACAGTGCAAGGGCTGGGAGTGACCCAGAAACACCTCAGGGCCCTGCCCTTCTGTGCCAGGCACACCAGGTGTGGCTGGGCAAGCTCAATCCAGCAGGATCCAAGTGTGGAGGAGCTTACTGTCGGGGGGGTCCAGGTGTGGGGTGAGAGGTTTCTGTATGGGGCAATCTGGATACAGGCAGCTCAGTGGGAGATCTGGATACACAGGGGCTCGTTGGGGGGGTTCCGGGTGCAGGAGCAATGGGACTCTGCAGGGGATCCAGGTGATTGTGGTTGGGTTCAGCGGGGGAGGGGGGGTCTGGGTGTGGAGAGATGGGGCTTAGAGGGTGTCTGGGGGCTCAGTGAGGGGGTCTGGGTGCTGGGGCTTGATGGGGTGGGGATCCAGGTGCAGCTGGTTGGGGCTCATTGGAGTGGGGGTCTGGTCAGAGGGGTCCAGGTGTAGGAGGGATGGGCCTCTCAGGGTGCTGGTTCAATAGGCCTGCTTAACAGGGGAACCCCAGCTGCTGCCGAGGGGGGAGCCTGAAATGTGGCGTTGCTTCCCCCTGCGATTCCTCTATCCCCTTTTCTTCTTCATCCCCCTCTCCTCCCCCTGCCCTATTCCATCCCCCATCCCCACCACGGGCACTCACTGTTCCACAGAAAATAGTAAGGCTCCCAACACACAAAAGGAGAACACAACTGGAACTAGGACCCAGGATGCTGCATTCAGCTGCAGAATCAGGGAAGCCCGAGACCTCTGAGTTTGGCAGCTCTGTGTTTGCAGAAATGGGGGAGGAGGGAGAGCCATGGCACGTAACCCTGTGTGCCCCTCCCCATGCCTCGCCTCTGTTTGGGGGGCAATCCCTCCCAAAAACTGCACACAAGGTCCAACCCCACCCCACCCCTGGCTTCCCTGCAGGGAAAAGCAGGAAATCTGCAGGGGGGCTTTTTTTTCTGTGGGCACACAGTCTCGCAGAATCCCCCCAGGAATAGAATGTGTAGAAAGTTTGCCATTCTTTTGAAAAGTTCCTGATATGCTTTAAAAGTCATCCCTCGTTAAGGGTGTGGAAGTTTCTTCTGGGGAAGGAGAAGAGAAAGCACTGGATGAAAGTTCGTCTTACACCTCTTCATCCTCTCCCCCAGAGACACTGTGTTGAGGTCCTGATATCAGGATGACTTTGTTACAGCCTGACAGTTCATCTGAGGAGTCAGAATGGAATCTCGGATGAAAGCAGAAAAATGGTTGGTCGGTTTTGAATGCTGAAACCAGAGGGGCCAATACATCCAAGCCTGAAATCCATAAGGATGGTGGTTGTCCTCAAGGAAAAAAAACTTAGGTCTTGAGATAAAGCCCTGAAAGTGACATCCATAGCATAGTCCTTTTTAGTGTGACTTTTGAATCAAGATGGAGTAGGCAAGAGTGACCAAAGGTCTGGTGACTGACCCCTTCTAGTTACCTGAGAAGATGATCCTGATGAGAATGAAGAATCCTCAGAAGGAATGACAGAGACTGACAGCTGTACTGACATTTGTGAAGCAGACTGCCCATCATGTTTTTGTATAGGGGAGCCCAGTGAAATGTTTATGACTGGCATCCTGGGTTGCTCTAATGGTGATTTAGATTTAGCTGAAAAAGGACAATAGTGCAGTAAGGAGACTGAAGCGCAGGAGTTATCCTGATGTCTGCTGCTTTTCTTAAAAAGAGTGCTGGAGAGGTTCCCAGAGCCTCACTTGTAAGAGGGGAAGGCTTGCTCAGTACTATAACTGCCCTCTGCCCCTTATAGAATCATAGAATATCAGAGTTGGAAGGCACCTCAGGAGGTCATCTAGTCCATCCCCCTACTCAGAAGGAAGTGCTCTCAATGCCACCAAGACTGAGCTTGCTGATGCGGTCTGAAGACAGACGAAGCAGGCTGCTGGTGTTCTGGTGCCCTGGTGCAGGAGCATCTGACCATGCTGGGGTAGGTTTAGATTGCTTCCACATTACCTTGGAAGCCCACATCAAAGAAGTTTTCAATGACCCCTTAAGATTTTGGGCTGAAGGAGAGGCAGATCCTTTTGGTACCATGCTCTTCCTGTGAGAGGATTTTCTCCCTGCCACATTCAGCAGCTCCTTTGATGCATGGAATTCTCTCCTCCTCTTTTGTTGTACCAGGGAAGATGACATCTTCCTTGTGGGAGATCTTAGAGTTGTCTTTAACTCCATGAGCAGCAGGGATTACTCACTGCTCCAACAGACAAGCCTGAGTGTACTTAAAAGAGCAGTGCCCGCTAGGAGGTATGGAGATCAGTTACCTCCCTAGTTTGGGGGGGTGTTTACAGGCTGGGTCTCAGATAGTGCACCCAAGGATCCCTGAAGCTGCTGCAGTCCAGAGTCAGACTGAGGTCTTATTGATTTCTCCATGAGGAACAGGCTCAGTCTATATTCCCTAAATTTATTAGTGTGATTTTAAAAGTCCTATAAATAGCACACTTTGATGGAAAATGAGCTTCTCCTAAGCAAAATAGGCAGAGGTCATGTATACCTATGAGAAGAACAATTCTCTGACCCGCATTGACTTAAATCCTGGTAAATGGGGATCTGGCATAAGTCTGTACTGGAACCCTATCTAAAATGCTTTTTAAAAAAACTAGCTAACAAATGAAACTGACTATCCTCAGTCAATTTAATCTGCCAGCCTCCTATAAGAAACAGACTAACAAATGAAATTGACTGTCTAATGTAATTAGCTAAATTAGTAAAAAACAAGGAAACTCAATTACCATACACTAAGAAACACAGTAACTAGCTAAAGCGGATGCTACTCTGTTTTGACTCTCTGCCAAAGGGCAGTTAGAAGGAGCTGAGGGGGAGCAGGAATATGCTGCCCTTTATGAAAGGGGCATGCACAACCTCTGCTGGACATTGCTATTGAAGTCCCTGAACTCCTGTGCAAAGGACACAATCACACCATATATAGAAGCCACATGAACAGTAACTTGAAGTAGCTAGGAGATTTGAAACTCCTACTGTTTCCCAAGATTTCCCAACTCTTACTGTTGTCTCTACAGATGTATGTCTACATACAGTGGATGATTCTACACAACTAAGGTTGCAGTAACTCAAAACAAAAACAAGTAGATTAAAGATTAATTTCCTTGCATTCAAGTAATCCAAATATCTTTCCCCTCAACACCTCCACACAATGAGGGTGAGTGATGAATTAGAGTAATTCTACATTTAAAATTGGCATATAAAATACAAAATTCAGTTTTTGATGAGCTGCATGTTGTTCAGCATACTGAACACAGCACTGAGTTTCAGAGCTTTCTTATTCCTCCAGCTATCACAAACCCAGAGGATGGCATGGATGTTGTGGGCTCATTTAGAAAGCCCAGAGCTCATTAGCACAAGTCCTGCAATGTTAAATTTAATAAAACTAACCCCAAGGGAGGTGAAAATATAATCAGATAGAAGCTTAATGCCTGTGAAAGTAAAAATAATTAAACAATGGAAAGGTTTTGATAAGGGAAGAAAGTAAAGTCCCTCTATGAAGCAGTGTGGTTTATTTTGTAATTTGACAGATAAAACCTCTTATCAATCAAATCAATCAATCAATCTCCATTGGTGACTTGGTCAGTCAGGAAACTGCAGAATGCTGGCCTGGCTGCTTGCAAAACTGAACGCAAGATTTAAGAGCGGAGTCTACAAAGATTTATTCATGCAAGTAGTAGTCTTAGTGAAGTCAGAACAACATGTCTGAGTATGGCTTTGCATGACTGGACTCTTGGTGGCAAAGGAGGCAAAAAGTAGTATTATTTACCCGTAACTAATTCTTTGAGGTGTACATACCACCTCAGCACTTAAGGCTGCCTTTGAACTAAGCTAGTCTAAAAAGGGCACCATCTTAAAATGCATCATCCCATATGCATCAAAACATGTATGTTCCACCACTATTATTTTCTGATTTGTTAACATTCACAGTAATTTACAAGGTAAAAATCAAGTAACATGGTGGTGGTGAAAAGGTTTTTTGAAGCAGAAAGTATATTTTTGTTGTTGCAGGTAGTAACCAAAGCTAGGAGTGCTGTTTATTAACACTTACATTTCAAAGGTCAGTTTCAATTAAAAAAAAAAAATCCCATCCAGCTTCAATGCGAAGATTTTTTTTCAAGGTTCCTATGACCTACACTAGGCACAGAAGTTAGAGAGAAATTTAATTGACTACAACCATTGCAAAGTTATTATCCAGTTACAAGAGATTTCTAATCAGTACATAAAAGTCTGTATAACAAAGATGAACAAATTCTGCTCAACTCTTAAGGCAATTTGTTTTCAAATGCCTAATTACTTTTTTTTTTAAATGGAGCAATGTTTCAGAGCATGCTTAACATACTGAATAAGTGACCCTGTTATATATAAAAGAAACCAGTCACTGCTGGAAGCAGCTTTTTCATGCATAAGGGAAATTGTAGAGCTATCATAGCTCAGTGGTTTGAGCATTGGCCTGCTAAACCCAGGGTTGTGAGTTCAATCCTTAAGGGGGCCACTTAGGGATCTGGGGCAAAATCAGTACTTGGTCCTGCTAGTGAAGGTAGGGGGCTGGACTTGATGACCTTTCAAAGTCCCTTCCAGTTCTAGGAGATAGGCTATCTCCATTAATTAATTAAATATGCTGCTCACACTATAATGTATATATTAAATCTATGAATACTAAAAAGATTTTTTTTTTAAATCAACAATCAATTTTCCCTGAAAGATTTTAACTTTTAAGCAGATGAGTACAAGTTTGTTAAATTGGCTGGGATAGGAAAAATATTAAAAACACCATGATTACTTTTATTTTTAAAACAAGTAAAAAAATTATTAATGTAGGGCCTGATCAGAAGGCTACGTAAATTGATAGATTCCCACTGACTTCATCGGGCTTTGTATCAGGCCTATAGAATATAGGATGGTACTTCTAACTGGAAGAAAAAGCTTTATTGAAATGATCTAAATAAAAATTCATATGGGAAAAAAGGAGACTAAGGGGGGATCTGATAGAGGTATATAAAATCATGAGTGGTGTAGAGAAAGTGCGTAAGGAAAAGTTATTTACTTGTTCCCATAATATAAGAACTATGGGCCACCAAATGAAATTAATGGGCAGCAGGTTTAAAACAAATAAAAGGAAGTTCTTCACACAGTGCACAGTCAACCAGTGGAACTCCTTGCCTGAGGAGGTTGTGAAAGGTAGGACTATAACAGGGTTTAAAAGAGACCTAGATAAATTCATGGAGGTTAAGTCCATTAATGGCTATAAGCCAGGATGGGTAAGGAATGGTGTCCCTAGCCTCTGTTTGTCAGAGGGTGGAGATGGATGGCAGGAGAGAGATCGCTTGATCATTACCTGTTAGGTTCACTCCCTCTGGGGCTCCTGGCATTGGCTACTGTCGGTAGACAGGATACTGGGCTTGATGGACCTTTGGTCTGACCCAGTATAGCCGTTCTTATGTTCTGAAGTCTTAACCCTCTCAAAAGCCCTAATCCATTAAGACTGTGCACATGTTCCCTTGAGGAACTGAACATTTGATGGAAGATCACATAAATAAAAGCCTCAAGTCTCCTCTATTCCTTCCACCTAATCAGACTCCATACTATAGGCTCCAAAGTCTAAGTCTACTTAAGCCTGAATTAACATTTAGTTACTACTTTCTCCTTACTGTATTGAACTCCTTATTTTGGAAACTAGCAGTACTAACAAGTCAAAAAGAAACTGAGTCTGAGGAGAACTAATTAAGCAAGGATTTTGAGATTCTTTCCAACTGGACATCAGAACTGCCAAGTTGAAAAAGAAACATTGCATAAATATACAGGTGTATACTGAAATCTTTATAGCAGCTGTATATATTTCTTTTGCTCCAATGATGACAAACAGGAACCTGACTACTCTGACTGCCTGTGACAAACACAACAAAAATAAAAGAGCTACAAGTCCCCAGAAAAACTCCAATCTGAAACCTATGAGACATTTTGGAAACAAGCGAGGATGTATTGAACATAGTCTAATGTAGCTTCAATACAGTCTGGAAATCATCAAAATACAACACCAAAACCAAATTTAAGATTGATCAGAGCTGCATACTTTCAACACTACTTTATAGTACATAATGCTGGGTAGAGCCCTGCACAGACACAAATTTATATCCGTGAACGCAGATATTCATGGATATAAATCGTGATCCGTGGAACCGCAAGGCTCTCCCAGGAACCGCAGTGGCAAAAGGAGCAGAACATGGGGCCACCATTCCCAGGAGCCAGCGCCCCACACCGGCAGCTCCTCTAGCGTGGCTGTACTGCCCAGAGCCCCACCCCCGTCTCTTCCACACAGCTGTCTGTGTCTCCTGTCTGGGGGCATGCATGCCTCTTGAACACAAGAGTGTGACCAGGGACAGCTGCCAGTGAGCTGGGTGCCTGCCCCAGTAGGCAGGGCTGGGGCGGTATAGCCACGCCGGAGGAGCAACCAGTGTGGAGTGCTGGCTCCAGGGAGCAGTAGCCCCATGTTCTGCTCCTTTCACCGCTGTAGTTCCCAGGAGAGTCCTGCGGATACTGACTTACATCCGCAGATATAAATTTATATCTGCACAGGGCTCTAATCCTGGGGAATGACAAAGTATGACATGTCCAAACTGTCTTCATTCCATACAACCTGCCTCAGAAAAATCCTCCGTATCTTTTGGCCCAGAACAAGCTCAAACCAAAACCTATTCATACAATGCAGCCAAGAAAATATGAGTACTATCATTATCAGGAGGCCTTGGAGATGGATTGGCCATGTGCTTTGGATGGAAACTGATTCCATCACCAGAATAGCACTAAGATGGACACGTGAAGGCAAGCGAAAATGAGGCCACTCGAAAACAACATGTTGAAGAGCTGTGGAAGCTGAAAAACCTGGGGCACAGCTGGGGGACCATTGAAAGACTGGCCAGAAACAGACAGGAGTGGAGGAGCTTCGTCGCTGCCCTGAACGCCAGAGGCATAATGGGTACTAACTAACTAACTAAACGTATCTTCACTTGATAACTAAAAGGTTTGTTTGAAAAGTATGATGTCTTTAGAAGAGTAACTCAATCTTTTTCTTCCCCAGGACCATAAAACCACCCAGTTTCTTTCAATGTCCCATTTCAAATCCTACTATCCTGCCTTAAATATTTAGTGTCAAGAAAAGGAGTGGAAGAACCAGACAATTAACAGATAACACTAACTATAACATTTACCATAAAACATTAACCATATGACCATACTCACTATAAATAGGGGTCTACTTAAATCACAGAGAAATCACATTTTTTTGCAGGTTGGTCACAGCATATATAGCAAGTTTTGCAGATGTGTATTGTTACCCTTACTTCTGTGCTGCTGCTGGCAGTGGCGCTGCCTTTAGAGCTGTGTGCCCCGCCAGCCACTGCAACTCTCAACTATGTCTTCAGAGCTGGGTGACTAAGCATATGCTTAAATTTTTGCATGAATGAGGCTTACGAGTGACTATCAAGTTGAATTTAGAATAATTACAAATGGGCTTTCGGCTTCCCCCACACAAACTTTCAGGGAAGAATGGGGACAAGACAGCTAGTTCAACTCAATGATTACTCCCAGATGTAGGTAATATTTTTTAATAGGGTTTAACCAATTTAGTTTTTGTATTACATTAAAACCACTTAAATAAAGAGACAGAAAGGTATTTTGGCTTGTAGTTTTTGTGGGAGTTTTTAAAAACTAGCATGGCTACCTCTTCAGCATTTGTCATAAACTCTGCAACTAGTGGCAGTGTAATTAATTTGTGAGAAACAGCAACTGAGTTACAACCACTCATGTCTTACAACCCAGAAATCTCAAACTGTAAGATAAGTTAGATACAGATCAGTAAACAATTATACCTACCCAGTATCTCCCAATCCATGAAGAAATATGACCTAAAATTAAAAAAAAAAAAAGACAAGAGTTAAAAGTAGTTGTTTCATGCCTAATTCCCTTGTTTGTTTTTTCTTTAAGGAAAAAAACAGCTGTGACACATTCATAAATTCTAAGGCCAGAAGAGACCATTATGAGTCTGGTCACCTGTACAGCACAGGCCACAGAACGTCCCCAAAATAATTCCTAGAGCATATTTGTTTAGAAAAACATCCAATCTTGATTTTTAAATGGGCAGTGACATCATGACCGTTGGTAAATTATTACAAAACTATATACTATAAAATCTGTGCACTACCAAGCGCAAGCATTATTTTGGGTAAAAGTTTCTCCAAGTCCTAATAAAATCCCTCACTGCATTTTTATCCCATATTTCCTTCCCTAAAAGCATCTCCCTGCAACTTAGTTTATTAGGTTACTGCCATAATAACCAAGTTAGACCAAAGAAATCATTTTGCTTCTGTTAGTCATCTCTCTCTCCTTTTGGAGGTAAGGCTTGCTACAGATCTTGTTTGCTTGCTCCTTCTTTTCACTAAAGGGGGTAACTCCAGATATTGTCTAGCAATTCGTTATATTTAATTTCTTGCAAAACATACAATGTATTAAGAGACGACAACTAGGGACACTTGTCAGTCAAATGACATCAACGACCTTCATCTCATCCAACATCTGAAGTTAATTCCACTAAATGAAACATTAAAAAAAAAAAAACCAGTGTAACACCGCACAGCTCGGAAGGTAAGACAGAAGGCGGCAGGGGGAGAGCCCCTAATATCATTGCACGTGGGTAGAACTTCCCCGCACCCCGCCGCAGAAGACAAGCAGGACGAGGCAGCAGCAGGGCCGTGCGGACACATCACACCGGCCGCGGCCAGGACAGTGCAGTTTGCCAGCGGATCTCCGCCGCGCTCCCGGGGCAGAAGCGAGTCAGGGGCCCGGCCCGGCTTCCCAAGGCGAGCAGGGAACCGGAGCACGAGGGGCGCGCCCACGGGGCCCGGGCGGTTACAGCGGGGAACAGAGACCCGCCGCTCTGCGGGGCACGGCCCGCAGGCCAGAGCGTGCACTGCGCGCGCCTCGCCCCCAGGACGGAGCCGCTCAACCCCTGCTCCCCCGGGCCGCCAGGCCCGGACTCACCGCGGCGGTTGCTTTCCTGGCGGCCGGGACGATGGCGGGGAGCGGCGCGGACATGTTGTTGCCGCACATACACTGGGCTCCGGGGCGGCCAGCGGGACACACTGGCCGGGAGGAGGGGCAGGCACCGGGCCAAGGGGAGGGGAGGAGCGTGAGGGGCGGCAGCAGGGAGCAAAACGCTGCGAATAAGAGTCGGAGGGCGGGGGGGGGGGTCGGGCTTGTGTCACCCACCCCTTCCCCCCTAGCCCCCATGCGCAGGCACGCGCATGGAGCGGCTAAACAGCGGCCGTTAGATTGCGCTGGGCAGCCACCAGTATTCCCTTCAAGACACGCCCATCACTGCTCTCCACCCCTATTGGCTCTAAGGCGCAGAGGATCCTCCATCTCCGATTGGACTCTACTCTTGTCATTTAGTTCCCTGACGACGGGGGGGGGGCATAATGAGGTTCATGCCAAGACGCGTGCGCAAAAGAGTTGTTCTGGTGACAGGTGAGAAGTGACTGCTCCAGGGGCCTGAGGGTGCCCGTCGGGGTCACTGGAGCCTGCTCTCAAGCCCTGGTCTCTGTCTAGGGAGGGAGGGAGGGGGGAGAGATTCTGAGCCTAAACAATAAAAATTCTGTAAATTTTATTTGTCAAAATAATGCAATATAATCACTTGTTTTGGTAAGTTATTTAAACTACAATACAGAAAAAAGACGCATGAACTATTCAGAATTTCCTAAACACATGAAAGTTAAGTTACAAACACTAACTAATACCCTGCATTCCAGTCCTGATCCTGGATTTTCATTTAAATTACATTACAGAACACCAAACAGCAAAAAAAAATTAAAAGTAGAATGTCATTTTAAATTGCTCAGACTTTTACACATGAAAGCATGGGCAGCGCCTGAACTGCTGCCGGGGGGAGGCTAGTCCTCAGCCCCACCCCTTCCACTTGAGGCCCCACCTCTTCCACCCCATACCACCCCCCACCAGAGCCAAGCCCCGCCTTTCACCGGAGTCCAGAGCTGCCCTTCCCCCCACGCAGCCACTGGCCTAGTCCCATTGCTAGAGCCCCTCAGCCCAGCTCAGGGGGGAAGGTGGCCATAGGCTGCAGCCTGCCCAGCTCTGGAGCACGGGAAGGCGGGCGGTGAGCAGCCCCAGCCCCAGCGGAGCATTGGGGGACTGGAGCCAGACGACTGGAGCCGCACACAGCAAGTGGTCACGGGAGAGGGTGCGGTCACACCTGACTGTTTGGGGAGGCAAAGCCTCCTCCAGCCTATGCAACCCCTCCACCCATGCATGAAAGTCATACAGTTTTGCTAATCATTGTCCTGGACCTGGCTGGGTACTTTGGGAAGTGCTTTGTTCTGATTGTCCTGACATTTTATTGACTGCTTGGTAAATGCTTAATTTACCCTCAACATCCATTTTTTTTTAAATGGGTAAGTAAAAATCTAACCCCATTGTGCCACTTTGGCACAGGAAAAAAAGTGAGAAAGCGCATACATCTTCCTAGCTGATTCCCTTATTGTCATTTATAAGGCTTTACATCACTCTGGCAAACCAGAGGCCTTAAAACTTTTACAGGTTTTATGTTCCTGGGGAAATTGACTGAGAATGGGAATAGTTAGCTTAACAACAGGATCATTGACAATATTACTATGCAGATAGGCTGCTACATTTCTGCCTCAGAGAATGAGATCAATTAACCATCAGCAGCAACAGTAACAAAATGTGTTTTTTCTACAAAATCTATTTTCTTTAATTTAAAAACAAACAATTTTCATTAACACAATACTGATATTTAATTAAGTGTTTCTTCAATTCTCAAGAAGTTACAGATATTTTACTAGGCAGGCAGGCTGCTACATTTCTGCCTTGGGGACAGAGCCTTCCTCCTGCATAACAAAAAGCCCTACCCTCCTCCACATCCCTGGAGCCATAGTATCAGGCGAGAGGGACAGAGTCTCTCTTGCTTGTTGGCCAGCTCAATTCCCTGATGGTGATCAACATCTCCACCACAGGCACGCATGCCCAGCCCTGCCCTCCCCTCTCCTCCCCCCCGGAGTGTTTTGCATCTCTGAGGCTGCTTCAGGCACGCTGGAACTAGGGTGACCAGATAGCAAATGTGAAAAACGGGACAGGGGGTGGGGGGTAATAGGATCCCATATAAAAAAAAGCCACAAATATTGGGACTGTCCCTATAAAATCAGAACATTTGGTACCCTAGCTGTAACAGATGCGCTGCCTGGGCTGGCAGGGAAGAGACGCGTGTCCCGTCCCCCCCCCCCCCGCAAATTTCTTTTGTGTTTTTCCGTGCAGAGGGCATCTGCACTATTAAAAAAAAATGTGTTCTTTCCACCTGTTCAATAACAAACGGTAACTAACAGGATGTAAAATCCTAGTGAAGACAAGGCAGTATGTAATTTTCACACATTAGCAGGTTGAGATAAAGGGAGCCTAAGGTTTACTTGGACCAGCAACATGAAAACTACAAACTGCCACGGTTTTCACTAGAATTTTACCTGGTGTTAGTTACCATATGCTAGCTAACGTAGTATGAACATACCTTTTAGCCTAATGAAGACAGGTTGGGAATCAATGTATTAAGGAATAGAAACAGACACAAACTCCCTATATATCTTCAGTGCTGCTGTATTTTCCTGTTAAATGGCACATGCTGCAGAATTGTTAAGTCAATAGGTTTCCTGTGACTTGGGGTGGCTCCACACACCTTGACCTTTAAAAATGGAAAAAGTGTAGCAACTGCATTCCAAATAGGGAGCAAAGAATTGAAAAGCATATCAGTTCCATTTGATATCTCACACTCTTATTCTAAAACCTAGACATGTTTGTGTTTTGAATGTTTTGATAAAGCTCCCAGTAAACTTATTTTATTAGAATTATTTACAGCTTGTTTTAAATGATAAAAAATAACCATAGAATTGCTAAATGGGTAGATACTAAACGGTAAACAGCATGGGAAATGGAGAACTTAACAAAAAAATCAATAAAAGCCGCAATCTTATTAAGATATTATTCAATCTATTTGTTCTCTGTAATGATATTCAGATGTCCCTTGTAGCCTTTTTGGCTGAATTAAAGAAATCCTTTGGCACAGACTCAAAAAATTAATGCTCCCTATTCATCTTGATATCTGTTATGCCATTCAGGCTCTTTATTCTGAAATTACTAGAGCAGGGGTTCTCAAACGTCGCTGCACCGTGACTCCCTTCTGACAACAAAAATTACTTCATAACCCCAGGAGGGGGGACTGAAGCCTGAGCCCACCCGAGTCCACCGCTCCAGGTGGGAGGGTCAAAGCTCAAGCCTCACTGCATTGGGTTGGGGGGGGGCACAGCTGAAGCTCAAGGGCTTCAGTCCCAGGCAGGGGGCCTGCAACCTGGGCTGAAGCCCTCGGGCTTTGGCTTCGGCCCTGGGCAGTGGGGTTCGGGCTTCAGCCCCGGGTTGCAGCAAGTCTAAGCCAGCCCCGGCGACTCCATTCAAAGGGGGTTGCGACCCTCTTTAGGGTCCTGACTCACAGTTTGAGAACCACTGTACTAGAGCATTCCAGACCATTCTGAACATTTGTACTAGCTCTGTAGAAATATGGCAAATATTACTATCAATGTGAAAGAGTTTGTTCTTTTTTCTTCTGATCAATACATTTGGAAAAAATAGTATGTGATCATGTAATTAAAGAATGTGTCATAATGCAGATGCACAGGGCTGGGGGCAAATTAATGTTGTACAGGCAGCCTTAATTCTGGCATTTCCTAACTTTGGAGTGCTTGATTCTCCAACCATAATGTTCTTTTTGCAAAGTTTGTTGTGTGTAATTTCCTAGATTTTTAAAAAGGAAACTGATTCTCCTTCACCCACCTCCCCCCAAAAATTGCATCATGTGGTATCATATTGACACCCATATGGGTCATCAGTAATCGGGTTGAAACCTTTAGATCCACCACATAAATTTATGCCACTTGGGGCTTGTGTACTCTAGAAACACAACAGAGGCACAGCTGCAGCTGTGCTGCTGTAGCACTTCAGCGTAGACACTTGCTACAGTAACGAAAGGGGTTCTTCCGTCAGCGTAGTTAATCCATCTCCTCCAGAGGCAGTAGGTAGGTCGACAGAAGAATTCTTCCATTGACCTAGCACTATCTACACTGTGGGTTAGGTTGTGTTAGCTATGTCAGCCATGTGGATTTTTCACACCCCTGAGTGATGTAGCTGGGTCAACTTAACTTTTGAGTATAGACCAGACCTTGAGCTAACTGAGTAGCTGATGTCAGCCTGTTTTCCTCTGTGTGAACCAGCATTAGAAGGGGGTGGGACACTTTTGCCAATACTTTCACAGATATTTGCTGACAACAGAGGAATGGTTAGACTCAGGAATCTTGGGATCCCTTTTAGGCTCTGGAGGGGAGTGTGCTGTAGTGGGCACAGACCTTTCTGTCCATTTCTTCCCAAGCCTGACCTCTCCCTTCTGCCCCATCCTCTCCAGTTTGTTCCTGTCCTAATCCTCACTCTGTTCCTCATCTCAGTTCCATTCTCCTCACCTAGCCAGTCCCATTCTTCACTCCTGTAGCTTCTCATTCCAGACTTTGTTTCCTTGCCCAGAAAATCCAGCCTCTGGGTCCCAGTTACACTCTCCTCCGCTGCTCCGCTAGCCTCTTTCCCCAGCCAGTTCCACTCTCTACCCAGCTCCCAGAGCGAGTCTCTTTGCCTAGCCATTCCCATTTCCAGCTACTTGTTCCCAATCTCCGTGTCCAACCAGTCCCAGTCTTCTTGCCCAGCCAAAGCCAGTCTCTTTGCACCCCAACTCTCAGTTTCCTTCTCCCACCACCCTGGCTGGGAGCAGCCCACAGTTGCAATTGCAGTGAAAGCCCTGCACAGATCCAGGATGGAATATGCCCAGTGTGGTCAGAATGTTTAGGGAAGTTAGCTGCTACAGTCTAAGTCTCTACTGAGAAAGTAGGAATTGTTATTTTTCAAAGGTAACTGTGCCAAATTTGGGCAGATTTTCACAGAGACAGCAAAAGGTGCATCCCTGACACAAAGGCCATCCCCCTGCCAAATGTCAAGCCCCCCGCTCCAAACATGGGGATGCTAGAGCTTTTCAAAGATAAGGTGGCCAGAATTTTTAACAGGGGCAAAACAAACATATTTTCCCCTAGATTAGTTCTCAGAAACAGATGAGCCATTTTGGCTGAAACCTCCTCCTCCCCCACCTCCCCCCGCAAAAAAATCTGTCTAAGGCAGATATCCAGCATGGAAAATTTCAGCCCAAATAGTTAAGTT